CCCCAGCCGCCGCCGCCGTTGTTGTTGTTGTTCCAGGAGAACGATATTTCCGCGGATTACTAGGCGGCGGAATATCGTGGTCCTCTCCTCTGCCCTGTCCCCCTGCTGCTGCTCCTGCTGCTACTGCTGGCGGCGGAGACGACGCCGTGGTTTTGTCCCCATGGGATGTAGATGAGGAGGCATGGAACGAGGGTATACGCTGTAACGAGATCCCCGCCCTGGACGTCGACACCACAGGGGAATTGGTAACGGTCTTTATCCCCGCTCCAGCCGTCGTATACGCATCGTGGGTGGCAGACGGCGGCGAGGGCGGCGGGACTGGCAATGTCCCCTTCCGAGCGACAGGTGTTAGGTCGATCGGCGGGGGTTCTCCCGCTCCTTGTGGTTGTGGCTGTTGCTGTTGCTGTCCCGGTTGTGGTACCAAACTCGTTTCACTACCCAGAGACGCCGCTGCAGCCGCCGCCGCCGCTTGATTCAACGACGAAAAGTACCCCGACTGCGCCGTCTTGACCTGCGGCCTTGTCGCCTCCCCTTCCCTCATCCCTCCCGTACCCGCACCCGCACCCACACCCGCACCCACACCCACCATCTCCAAACCGCCAACCGACAAAACATTCTGCCCGGACTGTGACTGACGTTTCCCATGTCCTCTCGAATACGCCGAAAAGTGGTGTTTCCCACGTCCATCCAGATCAGAATGCGCTGTCACACCGGCGTCGATCGCGTATTGCGTTCCCAGGTCTGTCGGGTCGCGGCGGATCGAGGTGGGGTCGAATGCGCCGGAGAGGATGTTGAGGCTTGTTCGTCTGTTGGTTGGTTGTGAGTCGGACTCGGTGGAGGAGGTGGGTGAGATCGGCGGCGGTGGCGGTAGTGGTGCTGGTGTTGTTGGTGGGTGCGTTTGTACGGGCGAGGAGGCGTGGGTGTCGGTGAGTGGTTCTACCGTGGTGATATCGGCTACCGAGATCCCTCTCCCCACCAACCCGACTTTACCCAACCCGGATAAAACACCGCCGCCGCCGCCGCCGCCGCCTCCCGACGGTCGTCGCTCACTCGATATCGATTCACTAGAGGTGGATAACAGTGATGCCGGCACGGAAGGAAGTGTAGAGGCAAACGTCGACGAACGACGCCGTTCTGCTGTAGCGAGTGCGAGGTAATCTATCGGTGGTTTTGTTCTTTGCGGTGTAGGAGCTGAAGGTGGTGGTGGTGTTGGTGGTGAAGACAGTGGGTGTGAGCTGCTCCCAACGCCATGAAGCGTTGAAACGTGAGCCATTTGCTCGTCCGAGGTACCTCTAAACCGCTTCCTCCGTTTCACCTTTTTCCGCGACCTCTTCCGCTGCGTAAAGTACCCTCCATCTTCACTTTGCTGACCTTGTTCCTCATCATCGTCGCTCCCTTTCACTTCCGTAGACCCGCCGTCCAACTCGCTGGAAGAACTAGAACTCGACTCGTCTGTATCGGTTGTTGAATCCGAGATGAATCCATTCCTATGACTACCGGGTGTGGACAAGGATGATCGGTGGTAATGGTGAGATGATTTGACGGGTAGGAGAGAGGAGGGATGCCGTTGACCGATACTGAGGGTTGAAGGACCGGGTTTGTTTGTGCTGCTGCTGCTGCTGCTACCGGCTGTCGTCGTCGAGGATGGTGGCTGCGTGCCTACCTGTGGTACCCTGACTGTAGACGGGGTACTTGCAGGACCTATACGAGTGATAGGCATACTGCGCACTGTTGGTATTAGACGACTACCTTGGGAAAAAGGAAGGAAAGAAAGGGTAAAAGGGGTACTTGTATGTGTATGAGGCGATATTCAGCCCAAGCAGAGAAGCGATCGGAAGCTTCCCCTTGCCGCTCCATCAAAGCGCCCTTTTTCCAACTCTGGCCTTTTGCTTCCATGTGTATCAGAGTGAGACTGAATTGGATTGATCAGCCAAGAGGTAGAGTGCACGTTCCTCCCCTTTTATACATAGCCTACCTACAGTCTAGAATGCCACCACCCGCAGCCCTATTAACAACCCTTCGCTATTCTCCTACTAGCACAGAACAATGGCCATTGTTCGAACAACATGTTGCAAGGCTCGTACATGCTTTTACACATTTCAAGAGTAGAGCGGGATGTCAACACGACGATGACGACAATGACCTGCTGCACGGGTTGACGGAACGAATAGGGCACGAGGTAACGGTTAATTGTCAACCTCTGCCAAAAGAACGGGAATGGAGGGTATGTCGGTTCTGTCTCTATAGAGATATGAAAGAAAAGTGGAATGACCCGCTCTGACTCGTGATAACTCCATTCCACGCATCGTATCGCATCGTATCGCATCGTATCGACTGCCACCACAGATCCGAGTACTGCTACACTACCCATCCGCAACCATCCATGTCGAGTCGTACGCAATGCCTGCTGGAACACGTACGTCCCGCCGCCACATCCATCCTTACAACCCACCACCACCCCACCATCCACTGACCTCACAACCAACCCACCCCGAACCCCACCCCCACACACAAAAACAGCGCCATTCAACTCGGACATTGACGCATTCCGCTCAATGCCTCCAGAGACGGGAAAACCAATAACCCTAGATCCGGAGACATCCCGTCTTGCACCACCACCACCACCCGCTGTTCATTGTCGGACATTGACTGCTCCTCCGACACATACGGCGGGAACCAGACCACTGCCGCGCCCGTGTAAGGAAATAGGGCAAGGGGAACGTGGGGAAGGAACGCTCGATCGCCTGCTTGGGCAGTGGCCTGGAGATGTGTACCGTTACAAGACGACCCAGAGGCTCGTGTATGAACTTGCAGCGGAACGTGGTCGTACGTCTGTCCATCCGTTCATCCGTCCTCCTCCTCTTTAACTGCAGCAGCAGCAGCTTAACTGTGTTCGTCTTATCGCCTGGTGAACGGTGTGACTGATTTTATATCCCCATTCACCCAATCAGGGAACAGCCATCCCACCGCGGATCCACCGATATTCGATACGCTCCTCCACTTTCCACACCGGACATCCTCACCCTCCTCATCATCAGCGTTATCACCACCGCCCTGCCACATCTACGCAGAGAAAGCGCCCGGGGGGGAGGAGGAAGAAAAGGACGACCTGATAACCGAACTAACGACTTCGAATATCGCGATATATTGTCCTTCCGCGCATTATACCGCACAATGGATCACACCGCTCTTTCACCCGGACGCACAGCACTATCGGGAACCTCATACAGCAGCAGCAGCAGCAGCAGCAGCAGCAGCAGTACCACTACCAACAACAACAACAACAACAAACGCGTCTCCATCGGACACCCACTTCCTCCCAGGTGTCATGCGCGCACATCTCCTCTCCCTTTCCAAGATCCGGCAAGTCGATATCTCGGTAAAAGAGTTTCAGAGGCTGGTGAGGGAGGAAGGAAGAGCGGTGGTCGGTATGAATGGATTACGGTATGTCATCTGGATCCTGGGAAAAGTATTCGTGCGGAACAGGAGGTGCTCATTTCGTGTCTTTGCCTGCCTCTTGTTTCCCTTTTCTTTTTGCCTGCACGTCGAGCAACAGGGGCGTATGGCTTGCGAATCCGATCTTTGCTGCGACTGATGTCGACGATGACGTCGACGCCGACGACGACGACGCCAACGATTGAACGCACCTTACAGACAACCCCGTTGACTGAACATTCGTACTACACGTACTTTGTTGCCAACGTCTCGGCTACCCCGTACTCGCACTTGGCATGTCGAACTGCAACGCCCGCTCTCGCTCGTATCAGTACCTCATGTCCCATGCTCAGACTTTGCGCGAATCTTGCAAAACGGCAGGGAGATGAATGAGCAGATAGATCTACATTTTGTCGCGCGCTTCGATTTATCGGGGTATCAAGTATGTGGAGAGAAGGTCCATGATTCCATTGAGGGTACTCTGTTTACTGCTAGGAAGGGTCATAGAGGGTTATACTCGAAGAGCGGACCGAGGGGAGATCATTGAGGAATATAGGGGATGATATGAGTTGGTATCGGATGATGGATGGAAAGATGTCGCTATTTGGAATACATTTTGGTGGTATGGATGACTCTTGAAATGATGACGGAGGATTTTGAATGATTCGGACGTTCTCGAAAGTTGTCGAGTGATACAGGTCACCACTTCTGTCCGCGTCCGACCCTGGTCTTGGGGTGCCCGTGGGAAAGCATGACGCGTCCGAGCACGTCTATAATGCCAAGTCATGTAAACAAGGCATACCGGACCTTGTCATGCATTCACGATTGGGCATTCTGATAGCATGCCATGTAGGTGTGTCGTTGATGTTACTTGATATCTGATCACTGTTCGCCCGCATGTGTTTGTAAAGCTTTACAAGCCACCTCGTACTCGCTCGATTTGAGGACCTCTTCATCGCCTTCCGCTTTCAGAGTGTCCTACCAGGAAGCCACAAAGTATCAGCACAGAAGCCGAGCAGCGATCAGCCGAGGCCACTCACCACCAAATCCTTGAGATCCTCCAACGCCGCCTGCACCTTTTCCTGTGTCAGCGGGACCATCTGCTCGCAATCCCTGACCACCTTTTCCGCATTCTTGACATTCCACTCCCAGTTCTCATCGCGGTCTTGTGGGTTCATGGTACGCCATTTCTCGAGGGATGCTTGGGCAGAAGTCGTTTCTGAGGTATAGGCTTTCACGTCTTTTTGTAGACGGTTGAGTGAGGAGGATTTGATGCGCAGGGATCGGATGAGGGCGGTAGGTCCGGATGTTGGGGCGGGCATTGCGAGGGTGGGTTGATGGTGCTTTGATTTGTTTGTTGTTGCCCGAGGGGTCGGTACAGATCGGATGGATGCGCTGTGATGAGCACCTTGATCAGGTTTCGTTATTGTTTCGAGAACCGTTGGAAAGTCGAGGGAGGAGGGTTGGTCTCGGAATGCGGATGCAATAATTTGGGATAGATAGTCAATGGAGATCTGGTCAAAACGCATGCGATGTTATTTATGTTTGGTCGTTCAACAATCAAGGCTGAATTGGTCTAGTGGTATGATACACCCTTAGGGAACAAGCATTCTCCTATCTGCTTGGGTGTGGTTCTCGGTTCGATTCCGGGATTCGGCCTACGTTTTTGCTTTCCAGAGGCGAGTTACGGTTTTGGTCTCAAAACTGGCAAGTGCTGCTAAAGTGAGTAGATTGACCGCCCCTCACAGGAGGGTTCCAACCTTTTTGAGATCCGATTGCAGGATGGCATATGCCTTTGCACGAATAACGTACCAGCCAAGGTACCTGGTAAACTTGACAAGGCCGAAACCGCCAAAGGCATTCCAAACAAACGCTGACCAGCTCCCCGAACTCTCCCCGACCGCTGCTTTGCCTCATTGACACCAGGTGCGCCCAAATCCTCAAACCTTACGCCTCACATAATCAATCGCGCACGGATCCGGATCCGACTATACGCCCTCCTTCCGGTTGTGTGTGTTGAACGTGAATGGGCAGTTGACATGTATACATCTTTGTATGGGTGACGGTCGAACAGCAACTTAGCTGGTAGTACGTCGTACACCCCATCCGCACTCAAGATCAGCGAGAAGAACGGTCGGCTGCTTCGTCCTGGAGGACTAGCCTGATGCTCGACGTCAACCGAACAAGATGCCCCAGCCGTCGTCGTCCGATCACTTACCACGGCCGCCAATAGCTTATTACCTGTTGGACACGTACGGCGCTCAACCTCGCTCACATCCAATCCCACCAGTACCACGAAAGGATGAACTCGAATCTATGCTCTTGTCGCTGGCACCGCTCGCTAATTCTGCCAACAAACGCGCAAAGAACGCAGCGGAGGCGGTGAGGATCGGTCGGGAAAGCTTGAACAAGTCTGCGTTTGCGTACAAGCTTTCAGATGGTGGAGAAGCGAGCAAGCTCAAGAGGGGAAAGTTCAAGGATCGGGAGCGGTTGAATGAGGATTCCGGTGACAAGGGAATTGTAATAAAAAAGGGAACGAGCGGTTCGGTGCGTGGTATTGGGTTGGCGTTTGGATCAGATTCAAACAGGAAGGAAGATGCGTCGGTGAATGGATCACCAAGGGTGAAAAGAGAATCGTCGGGTACGTACGTTGACGGCGATACTGAGACGAATGCTGAAGTCGTGTGTCATTACAGCTTCGCCTGCCCCAGCTACTGCCTCTGAATACGCACGACCGAGCTCCCGACTTGGCACGCCTGTTGATGTTCAGACTCTGCCAACAGAAAAGGCCAGCCTAAAATACAAGAAACGGAAACTCGCCCATCTACCAAGCCCAGAGGCGGATCATGCGAGCGTGACTTCGCTGCGAGGCAGAGGGGATTCCACGGCTAGAGAGAGCAGCGTTCCTGTTACACAGTCACATAGCGCGACACCAGGAAGCAGCACCTTCCCGCCTGGAGCGGAAAGGCCGTCTTTATCAAATCAGCCATCCACGAGTGGGCTTAAAGTCAAGCTCAGTCTGTCCAGTTCAGCAAAGGTAAGCGATTGACATGCTATTGTGCGTGTTCGAACTAACATACGTCGCATTTACAGAATCGTGGATCCCTACCTCCTGCAGAATTAGGCACCTCACCACTGCAAACAGCGGCGGTTGTTAATCCGCTTGGCAATAACGACTCTGCGATTCAACAAATCATCAATTTTGCCATTCCTACCTCGAAACCTCAATCAGTCACAGCATGTACTTCACTGGTTCCTGTTCGTCCACCAATACCTCATCCTCCCAAACCCTTACCTAAGCGACAAAAGGACGTCAATCAAGACTTTTCCACGGTGAAACATGTCACACAGAACGTGCAGTGGTCAACATTCTGGAACGGCATCGAGCCTTATTTGAAGGATTTCGGGGAAGAGGAGCTTGCTATGCTGGGGTTCAGAGTACGTGCTTGGCCGCTCGGTCTAGGATAGGTTTCGCTGACATACTTGCGCAGCCCGAGGACGTCGAGCCGTTTGTGATACCGCCATTGGGAAAACATTATCAGGATATATGGGACGAAGAGGACTCTGCACTGCCGTTCGCCTCTCTCGACTCGACAGGTCCTCCCGCTGTCAACGCATGGGATATGCTCAATGGCGACACGAAGGATTCCAAACCAGTAATATCAGAGGCGTTATTAGCCGATAAGACATACGTTCCGGTAACCGAAATGGTGGACGACGATCTGTGGGATGAAGCAAAGGGGCTGGGTGGACTGAATGAGCGGGCCGTGGCAGCATTGTTGAAACCAGTCGTCCCTGATGAGAAAAAGGGCCATACGCAGGCCAAGAATGGTACAGGTTCGCCGCGGCGCGGACCCATTATCAATTCATCATCAGAAGGGACTGCTATTGTCCCGACGACACCAAAGAATAAAGTTCCAGAAGTCCAGTTGAATGGAGACGCGGTCTCGCCGAACTCTATCGATGCGAGAACGATAAAGCTTCAACAGACGCCTACGCGAGGCAGGGACCCCTCCGTGATTAACAAAACAGAAGACGGCGACGACGACAGCCAATCGTACGGTCCTCCTTGGCCAATACGGCCTCATCGGATACCAAGTCCGCCAAAGCGGGCAAACGAGAGGGAAAAGGCTTCGACGCTTGATACAGAATTGGGGCAGTTGGAAGAGGGTGTGGCGCGAGAGTTGAGATTGCTTGGCCTGTTGGATGCAGAGGAAACAGTAAGTTGCAGTGGTTTACGAGGTAATACATCTTTGCTTACCCGTTGTTGCGTTAGATCGACTGGTCTCTGCGCGAGGACGATGAAATCTGCTGCGCACTACGCTCAAGTCAGCGACTACTCAAAACGCAAATCGCTGTCAACAACGCCCGCAAAGATCGTCTATTACAGGTCACCAAAGAGCGATTAGCGTATGGTGAATACAAAAAGGTGTTGGAAGGCTTGGAAAAGCTAATCGAGCAAGCGTGGACGAAGCGATACGCCGCGATTAAAAAGGCCGGAAAGCGGCAAAAGGGGAAGGGCAAAGCCAACGCCAACAGCAACACCACAACGGATGCCGGTGCAGGACCTGTGGCCGTGACACCAAGCAAAAGGGAGGGTGTCCCGCCTCTCAGTGATCAGGTCAAGCTGGCGATGAGTGCAAGAAGAAGATGGCTTGATACAGTGGGTCATGCGTTGGAGAATGATCCTGTCGTCGGGAGGTATAGAGGTTTGCCACAGCAAAGCATTTACGAAGGTATTGATGAGAATGGTAGAGAGTACAAGCCTCTACGGGGAGATGGCGAAGATGAGGACCATGCGCCGCGGCCAGACGCGTAGCAGGTGGTCAATGCCCAATCAGAACGTTGGATCGAAGTGAGTCAGCGCAGGGCAGGGCAGCAATTATAATACTGGCTGGCCGTTCTGGAAGCGATAGTCATTCGAGTTGTAAAGAAATAGCATGCCTCTGGCCCACATCAGTGGCTGGGTTTGTGACCAGCCAGTATTTGAAGAAGCAAGTATGCTCCGTGCTCTTTCAGCGGGTCGCGAGGGTGGATCGATAACATTGTTGATGGGTAAGCAGGGACCATGCAGGTGGTGTCTAAAAGACCTGTTTCATAAACATCTGCCGAACTTTGCGTACGACTAGTAAGTGGTCATAAGGCTCCTGCAGCTGCTCTGAACTCGAGGATGGCACGAGGCCATATACATAGGCAACGCGACCGAGATACCGAATTGCTGACTAAGCTTTCAGCTAGCTAATTTCCGGTTCCGGACTCGTGACCTGACCAATCCTCCAGCCTGATCACTTGTCAAAGGGGATCAATGGTCATCTTCAAGTCTCTTGTTTGTAGCTTTAGGAATTGCATACACCGTAGCAAGACGATAGGATTATAGCGAGAGGATCATCATGGATCGAGACGACGCAGAAATGGAGGGTAAGTTGATGCGCGCAAAAAGAGCAAGGAACGCAAGCTGAACAGGGATGCAACGTTATGTGTGTGTGTAGATGTTCAGGACCGAAGGAGGGAACCGTCGAGGGAAAGGAGTCCGGAAAGAAGAGAAGACAGTGATCGTCGGGAGAGAAGAGGTAGCAGAGACAATGTGAGTACTTTTGAGAGTCTCGTAATTCCTGGTCGATATTCGTGCGGTCATGTGCGAGCAGTCATGACTGTTTTGAATGATCCCAGCGTGATCTGGAGGGTTCGAGTCCGTCGGTATGGTGGAACGCTGGACGACCGGGGTCAAATGTTTTTGGAGGGAGTATGCAAGGCATATATAACGGGCAGGCTGTCGCAACGTGGGAAGTGATCGCTTGATCACTCACAGTTTCCTCTTACAGCACGTGCTATATGGAGACGGTCTCGTCGTCACCTGAAACTGACAACCCACCTCTCTCACAGCATCGATCTGCTCGACGAACCCCATCGCGCTCTCGCTCTCGCTCTCCCAGGCGATCTTCTCACCGACATCGTTCTCGTTCATACTCTCCCGACCGACGCCGTTCGCACCGTGAGCGATCCCGCTCGAGAAGTCCTCCTCGTGAGCGATCGCGTTCAAGGGACCGTGACGATCATCGACGATACTCGTCATCTCGACGTGATCGAGATTTCCGTGATTCGAGGGACCACCGACGACCGGCAGAGGGTGGAAGATCTGTTGGAGGACCGATGAACGCTCCTCTGTCCGAGGCAGAAGCGCATGCCAAGGTCTCTATCAAGGAAAATCGAGTCTACGTTGGTAATCTGCCCTACAACTGCACCTATCAAGACCTCAAGAATGCTTTGAAAGAGGGTGGGTGGATTTTGGGCTTTGAAATTTCGTGTGGATGTTATTGTGGGGATAGGAGGAAAGGCCGGAGCAGCAGTTCAAGTGGTCGCCAATGGCAGCATACGTTGACGAGCCGTGGATGCGGGGCGCACGCGCAACTTGTCGCTGCTCTCGCACGACGAGCGGGCCGGAATTATGAGGATGAGGATGCAATGATGGCTAGGTTGGGATGCAGGGCCGAGGATAGAATTAGTTGAAAAGGCAGGAAGGTTGACGGATTTTGTTTCTGGGTTACTTGGTTTGGTCGTTTGCCGTACAGCCGGAGAAGTCGTTTTCGCGGAGATTTTCGTCACTCCAGCTGGACAATCCAAAGGTTGCGGGTAAGTCTTGGATGCTCTTCTGATTTTTT